TTGAAGACTGCTCAGTCTTAGAGGGTGATAGTTAGTGGTTAATGGGTAGAGTGCTGTACTGGGGGTCTGCACTTAGAATACCAGAGAGCTGGGGAAGGGCAAATATGCCCTGTGGCCCAAACCCGGCCTACCGTCTATTTTTTTTCTGAAGAATTACTTAATTTAATTTTATTTATTTAAATAGCCAAGTAAGTAAGTAAGTAAATAATAATAATTAAAAACAGAGAGGGACAGAGAGAGAGAGAGGGAAAGTGAGAAAGCAAGCCACTAGGTCCAGGACTGGAATGGCAGTCAGCCATGTGGGAGTCCAGTGCCCTTAACCACCACGCCACCTGCCGGCCCCTTACCATTTTTATCAATAAGGTTCTATTGAATAGAGTGAGGCTCATTTGTTCAAGTAACATCTATGGCTGCTTTTGTGTTGTAACAGCAGAGCTGAGTAGTCAGTATGGAGGCTTGCATGGTCCAGAAAGCCCAAAGTATTTACCTTCTTGCCTTTTTTTTTTTTTTTCCCTTTAGGAAAAAGTTTGCTGGCCCCTGCTGTAGGGTCCAGACCAGGTCTGTACAGTAGAGCTTTAAGGTGATAAAAATGTTCTTTACCTGGGCTATCCATTCCAGTAGTCTCTAGCCAAGTGGGTGCTGAGTACTTGTTATTTGACTAGTGCCAACTGGCTGAGGAACTGGAATTTTAGATATCTCTAATTACTGTTAAAATGAATTTAAATTTAAGTAGCCCCACATGGCTAGTTGCTACTGTATTAGAAGCTGGGCAGATGTAGCCGGTGTGTAAGACACACATCAGGATGTTCAGCCACTCTTCTGTGGGCAGCCCAGTGTTAGAGACTTGCCTTCGGGCATATTGAGGAAGGACAGACAAACACGTTGAAAACCAACAATGTGTTTGAAGCTTTCATCCTCATTGTTTCAGTAAAACCACACAGAATCCTTTGATCCAGGTAATAGTGTTCCCATTCTGCAGATGAGGAAGCTAAGACTCAAAGAGGTAAAGTATAACAAGGGGCCATTTGGAATTTGAGTCTATATCTTCCCAACTGTAAGTCTTTTCTATTTTAGGGTTGTCTCCTCCATCCTAGGTCTTTCATGAGTGTGGTTCTGCTTTCTAATCTGCCCCTTATTTCTGAAGGATCATCTTTTTATATACTCTCCCCAAGACAAGGGCCTTTTTTATATTAGAAAGGTTGAGGTGTTTTAGGGGCTAGTTGAAGTGAAGAAAGGATCTTTTCAGTTTCTTAGGCTAAGTTTACTTCAAAATTATTTAAATTTTATTTCTATATATGTATCCAGTGGCTTCTGATAGAATACCATCTTATTTTTGTATTAGGAAATGTACTCACTATGCCCCAACTGGGTGATAATACATGGGTTGACTATTGAGATTGGATCAAGGTTACTCTTAAGTTTCTCACGAGAGGCAATAGTTGACAATTTACTCCCTTGGAGAGTGCCTCTTGCTGTTGGGAAATCCCTGTTGTTACATTTTCTGCATTGGCTCAGAAATCCACAAGCTTAAAAGGGCACTGTTGATAATGATAAGCCCCAAATTTGTCCAATGATCTCCCCCACTCCCCTAATCCATTGTGTTTTAAGGGCAATATTTTTGTTTAGCTAGATTTTTAATAGGGAGTTCAAGCTCGATTTTTATTTTTCTGTTGTATAAAATATAACACATCCTCGCTATAAACTATAAAAACATGCTGCTGTCCCCACTAAAAAACAAAGAATTTCTGGCAAATCTAGAAATAATCATATGTGACTTAAATTTGTGGTTTCTACTTTCCCCTTTGCTCCTTTCCAAAAATAATGATAAATACAACATCTGTGGAAAGTAGGCCTTTAAGTAATATAAAGTTAATGAGAAATAATAATTTCACAGTTGCTCCCTGGAAATCTTATTGTAGAGAAGGTCCAAGGACAACTACAGAAATTATTTCCTAAAATAAAGCTGATAGTTGAAATATTGGTGGTAATTATTAGCATCGACGGATGGAAATAGTTTATGTGATAATCTCTCTGGGTTTTCTGGTGTTTTCCATATATACTATTAAGTCTGAGATTTTCAAGCATCTCAATTATTGAGAGGAATAATGAATTGTAAAATGAGAGTGAGGTTACTTAGATTTTGGAATACTTCTGTAACTTATTAAACTGGTATTTTTGGTAATAAGATACAGTGGCCAAGATAATGTATTAACCCGAATGTCCTAGAAGTTGTTTGCAGTTAAAGTCTTTGTCAGATAAATTAGACTTAAGTTCAGTTGGAAATTAGTGAGAAGGAAACCTAGTAGCATTGTCATTGCAAAAGATTATACAATTTTACACTCGGATATGGATTAATAAGTAGTCTGTGGAGGGCTTGAAGCCCCCCTCTCCTTTATTTTTTAAGTCTATTTTGTGTGTGCTCAGTTTGTTGGAATCATGCAGGTTTGGCTCTGGTGACCTAATAATTTCTGTAATCAAATGTATTATGGCTGCTAGAGTACTTAGAACAATTACTAATTGTACTTTTAAAAACAGGTTTATAATAAAAGTGCTAATAGTTATGTCAAATAGGCATCAATATTGTCTTTTCACAGGTGTGATCTTTCACAATTAAACTCTTCCATGGTTTTTAATTGCTCGGTGGTAGAGGAATTAGTTAATGGTGAAGGAATTGTATGAGAGACCTCACAGTGGTGCAAGTTACTTAAAAATAATGAAGTCAGTGTTTCCAGAGAAGCAATAGGAAACTTTGTTGATAGGCACTCAAAAGTAGATCTATACAAATACCATCTGTACTTGTGTTTGCTCTCAGTGCATGTGTAGAGAGGCAGAAAGAGGAAATGGGCAAGCTTACAGTAGCGGATGGACACATTTTTAAGCCAGGAAGAAAACAGTATCAGTTGTCAAGTGTCTGGAATGGTAATTGAAGTGATTGTTCACTAGATGGCGATAGACACCCTGAGATCATTAATCAATTAAGGGTTTTATTCAGTGAACAATAGTGAAGACCATTTAGTGACAAATCTGTCTACATTTTAGGTTCTTAATAATTTTGGAACTACTAAAGAAGGCTAAAACTAGCCCAAATGATTATAATAGTCTACTTAGTGTTTAAAATACTGATGACTTTAAAATTCTAAGTTTTATTGATAAGTATAGTCATTTAATTTATCATAACAAACTAATACTTCTATCAAGTAACTATAATAAATTCATATCTCTGGCTATGGATCCACAATATATGACTCCATCATTCACAGTATCAGAGGCTAATTTAAAAAGAATTGGCAAATGATTTTGATATATAATTTTGCCTTTTTGAATTTGTTAATTTCTGAATGAGGGATTGAAAACTTACTGCACTATATACCTAAGAGCATACTCAATGTATAATTCTTAGTGTAATGGTGATATTTCTCTTTACAGAGTAATTGACATCTGGGTTGTTTTATTTCTTTACTCTGTTATTTCTGTGTCCTTGAGAAAACAGTTTTTGGGCTAGATTCCTTATTGGATTTTGAAGAGAATGTATACTCTATTGTTTTGGTGTAGATCCTGTGCATTTTCATTTTTCCACCCGGTAGGCTGAAATGAGTGTTTGCCACCAGGTCGTCAGCTGGTCGTAGACTGCCTAGCTTTCAGTTATGTTTGGAGCTGAACTTTGTGCATTTAGAAAATGTATCCAAATCATCCCGTGCAAACATTGATCTGGGCAAGCCTCTCTGGGGCTTTCTTGGTGATGCACCTGTCAGGAGCCCTTAGAAATGGCCCCAGGACTGGGCCTCTAGCCTTTGTTTCTATCCGTGATAGGAGAAAGTGAATATGGAGAATCTTATAATTAATTATTAAAGGAGTTCTTCATCTTTACCTAGAAATACATAAAAATTTTACTTTCCCAATCTTTTTTTATATATATATATATATAACCTAATTTAAGAACAATGAAAAGCTGCAGCCAGCAGGTGGTGTGGTGGTTA